CGCCCACGCACGAACGCATACACACGCGCACGCACACGCCTATTCACCCGCACCCGTGCACACACTCGCGCGCCCCCGCACGCGCACACGAACGCACACACACGCACACACACACACACACACACACACACACACACACACACGCACGCACGCGCGCGCGCACACACACACACACCACACACACACACACACACGACACGACACACACACACTACACACACACACACACACACACGACGCGCGCGCGCGCGCGCGCGCCGAACAAAACCCACTAACCAACACACAATACTTACTATGGTCTATTGTGTTGTTAGTCGGTAAGTGCATGTGTCGTTGTGTTGTGTGTGTGTGTGTGTGTGTGTGTGTGTGTGTGTATGATACACACACATACATACATACACACACCTATACAGAGAGAAAAACAAAGATAAAGAGGGGATTTTGCCTACAATGTGATTACTTGCAACGTGATTAGTGGATCACATAATACCGGATTCTGCTGTCACCTAGAAGAGGGGTTTCTCTGCAATCTTAAACTGCACCAATAATATCCTAATTGCTGTTTGGCAGGTGATGAATGATGACAAGGCAAATTTTCCGCAATAACTCGATAATGATCTAAAGTCAACATTGATAATATCGCTGTTGGGAGTTGTACCACTGCTCCACTGTGGTAGCCGTAAATTTAGGATCCTGTTGTGATCCAAGGCAACGATAGGTACTGCTGTTTTCGGGCTTTGCAATGTCTCATTTTCTTCCTCTTCATAGCATTAGAAGAATAACACAACGTCCGACTGCCAAATCAACTTGAGTCTTGATTAACGCCTGCGTTACTTTTCGTATAGACTCTCGTAATATTTTACTTCATGCACTGCCGCAGTCGTGACTAACTAAAGGTCATCATGATATTTAGCAGTCTCTAGTTCACAAACTCAAAATGTTTGCTATTATGTAGCGAGAAAAGGCCGACCTAAATGGAGGGGCTATTTCATGTACACCAGAATACCATCCAGTTCTAGATTTCGCTATGAGGCGATCGTTTTACGCCAATGTAGCAGACGATGTGAAAAACTGTAATCTATATACTGTACCATACATATATACATACATACATACATACATACATACATATGGGTTTGCAGAGTACACAGCAGAGCAAACCATATGTGAGAGTGAAACTATGATATCGTTCGAAGTAGTATCTCTTTTCACTAACGTACCTATAGAGGGCGCATGCCAGACAGCCCTACATCGCATGCAGGCGGACAACAGCCTAACAGCCCGCACCGCTCTCTCTCCTGAGCAAGTCACCAAGCTCATCGAGTTCGTCCTACGGTCTACATACTTCCTCTATAACGGCTCGTACTACGAGCAGACGGAGGGGGCAGCCATGGGCAGCCCGGTCTCGGCCGTCGTGGCCAACTTGTACATGGAGAGTTTTGAACAGGAAGCTCTACTCACCTGTCCCCCCTCTTGCAAACCGCGGGTATGGAAGAGATACGTTGATGACACGTTTATCATAGTCCCTGCAGAAGCGGAGAGCCTACTCAAACACATAAACAGCCGCCAACAATTCATCCAGTTCACAGCGGAGGCAGAATGTGAAGGGAAGATAGCTTTCTTGGACACACTAGTGCACAGACAGGACAACGGCGGGCTGTCCACCTCAGTCTACAGGAAGCCCACTCACACAGACCAATACATACCGTTTGATTCGCATCACCCCATCTCTGTGAAGAGAGGCCTAGTGAAATGTCTTTTTGACAGAGCGGAACGCATAGTCACCAGCCCACAACAGACAAACGATGAGCGGGCACACGTTCGGAATGCCCTAGGTAAGAACGGGTACCCACACCGTTTTATCCATACCTCAACCAAGAAAACTTCACAACCCAAGGAGCCGAAAGATTATAAGACGTTTACGGTCTTACGCTTCATAGACGGGATCTCCCAGTAGCTCAAACGCCGCCTAGAGAACCATGGTGTTCGGACCGTTTTCCGCTCAGATTCTACACTGCGCAAACAGCTAGTACGCCCAAAATATCTAGTTCCTGATCACAGACGTGACGGCATGGTGTATAACATCCCTTGCCAAGGGTGTGACGGATCCCATATCGGTGAAACAGCCCGACCTATAGGGGAAAGGATTACGGAACACAAGTAGGATGTCAGGCTGCTTCGAAACGACAGCTCAGCAGTGGCCGAACACGCATGGGAGAACCACCACCAACCTGACTGGGAAGGGATACAGTGCCTCGCCCAAGAGCGACACTGGTACACACTGGTGAAAGAAGCCATTAACATTCGTCTCCACCCCAACAACTTTAACAGAGACAACGGGTTAGATATCCCCAATTTCTGGATGACAACGATACGCCGCCATGACTCTCACGTTGCGGCAGCAAACGCCGTCCGACCCACAACAGTGCGGGTTACAGCCAACGCCAGCCAGCCGATTACGACGCGGGAACCTGCAGGCGCCAGCCGGCCGGTCACTGCGCAGGAAACAGCAAGCGCCAGATAGCCAATCACAGCACGGCCAGTCCAGCAGTCGTACTGCTGAATCCAACCGATGGGTATATATCAGGAGTAGATAATAGGGAGGAGTGTGACATCAATAAACAAGGGAAATTCGTCATTTCCTAGCCTTATACTACCTACGATTTACTACGCGTAACTCATCCAACTTGAGCTCAAATCGGACACAGTACATTCGCCCATCATCGTACGAAATCGTTTCCTCGTAGACACCCGCAATCCGGAGATACAGCCTAAAACGTACGACACGATTCTCCATTCTCTGGCCATTAATCCAACGCCCATTGCGCGCCTATAATTCAGACAAAAGGCAGCAACCTGGCGCGCAGTCGCTGTGTTTGCTCTCTCGGATAGCTGAATGTGGCGTTGTGGCTCGCAGGGAGATTGGAGATCGACGCAACACTCGACGAGCTAATCATGCGGTTAACGTGCGAGCGTGAAGGCATGCCAGCTATGTACAAAGGTGGCCTGTGTAGCTGTGTACCGGGTCAAAGGTTATCTTAGCGAGTGTTGATGCCTAATCTCCCAGCGAGCCACATGCCTCGCTCAGTTAGCAATAGCGCGTTAGGTAGCTGCCTTTTGTTTGAATTATAGGCGCGCAATGGCGTTGGATTGATGGCCAGAGAATGGAGAATCGTGTCGTACGTTTTAGGCTGTATCTCTGGATTGCGGGTGTCTACGAGGAAACGATTTCGCACGATGATTGGCGAATGTACTGTGTCCGATTTGAGCTCAAGTTGGATGAGTTACGTGCAGTAAATCGTAGGTATTATAAGGCTAGTAAATGACGAATTTCCCTTGTTTATTGATGTCACACTCCTCCCTATTATCTACTCCTGGTATATATACCCTCACTCGCAACGTCGCCGCATCACCTGACGAAGTGTTGCAGTAGCACACGAAACGTCGTGTTCTCCAATTTTCTTGTTGACCACCCATTACGAGACAAACGGGAATATAGCAGGCAAGTATACATATATACACACATATATATATATTTACATATATATAATATATATATATATATATATATGTGTGTGTATATATATATGATATCTATGCCCTGTTCTATGTGAAATAAGCGTGAAAAACTTTAACCTAACGCCAATCGTTAACACTTGCAATGTTTCTAGTAACACACCGTAAGGGGGCAGGCGGTCCGTTGTGACGTTGGCCATCGGTAACTAATCGCATTAGCGCTCGTTGTGTTTTTAAAACCAGTGATTTCTCTCCATAACGTTTTTTATTCCGAGACTGTCGCAACCGACTTCTTAAGTATGCATCCAGCAGCTCAAGTTTAATGAAATCTGATCCCAGCCTAGGCTCTGTGTCTTCGAAGTGCTTACACCCACACCGACATTTACCCAATGCAGGAAGATCCACTATATACCATCACAAAGCAATTTCGTCTACAGTTTTCAGCGATGTTTCTCCCTATAGGGTGAGGGTTACAATAAACATGCAAGTGCTGTGTATCGAAATGTATTGAATTGCATCATTTCCTAGCTTAGTCTGATTACTACTAGTCAGTCTAGTAATCACTCGATATATTTGTCATTGCGGATGGCTTTCCTGAAAGACGAAGCGCACGCTTCTCTTTCTGAATAGAAGAGTTTCAGACAGGTTAGGCCGCATTCAGGGCCGCAACTTGAGAACCTAACCACGATTTACACGGAAATTCTGTTTCTCGATGATTGCGCGCTGTTAATTGTCATTCGCATGTTCACCGGTTGGCGACTTTTCGCTTGCATCAGGGAAAAATGTCGTGGAAGCCTAAGCGGACTTTTAATTAATTGAAAATTAATTTGGTATTGTCTTCCTTCCGATGAGTCTGACTCACGTTTAATTCAGACTTGGCTATTGTTGCGTATCAAAGCAGTCAGCTATGCCGTGAAATATTCAATGCTGGATATCCGATACAGGATCTGCTGCCTGCTTCATCAAATTCACCTTGTATAGACGCGAAGCTGAATTAAAGCAGCTTAAATAATAAACCCGCGTTATATTAATGCGGATTATAATTTTCGCAGCATTTAATTGTTGCACGTAATCGAACGCTCCATGGAGGCGGGCTTTGAGTGTGAACATGGTGCCGAGTAACGACCCCCAGTCGTTACGATGCGAACACTAGACGTGTAATCCATTAGTCTGTGACATAAGACGAGAGGATTGTGAGTTTTTATTCTTCATCCACAGTCATTATACTTCGTGCATCATAGCAGATATGGCGGTGTGCTACGGCGCACTGTTAGCGTCACGCTCAGATCTAATCAGGAGTACGTGATAGTGAGAGATCTCTTTATCGTGTATTTCTGATATCATCATAATATTTATTCAGCTGTTGCAGTATAATATATTACAATATTGCTCACGCTGCCTCCGCGGTGATATCCCAAGTTGAGCTTTTGATCTGTATATAACTGTTGTATATATATATATATATATATATATATATACCACCTTATATCATCAAATAATAAATTTATTTACATAATGTTTAATAGTTAGTAATCATTAATACGAGCACAAGTTACGGCTATATACATGTATCCTTTGGGTGAGTTAGTACGTGCCTGCGCGCGTGCATCTGTTATCAAGTACTAATCAACTTGACTAATGAACTGTATACATATTTAATGTTGTTATATATATATATAATTTTGAGTTTCCCTTTATTCCCTCGTTGAACGGCTCGGTTCAGTTTAAAATTACGAGCGCTTAGCACGAAACACAACCCAAAGCACAACCCCTGCGGTTCCGCACCTTATTAGCCGCCAAGTTCGAATTCAGTGAGCTCGTGCAAAAAAAAGCATTTTTCTAGTTTTGTTTCTGCGGTCTTCCCCCATAATTTGCATTGCGATGTACTTTTCGAAGAAACCGGAAGTGACGCACATCGTACCCTGTTGCGGAGACCAATCAGGTAACGCCTGAATCTAGAATAGGTCAACTTGGTACCGGAATCTAGTACAGTATATAGATTCTGGCCGTTTTATAATCTACGCGTGCTGATATGACAAGTATATGTATTATGCTTGATCGTGTCATTGCCGTTATATAGATGCGTTAGCGACTGATAATAGCGCGCTTTCTTCTTCTAACGTTGCTCTGACGTCACTCGTTTTGACACCGGTCGCGTCCCCTTTGTTTTTACTAAGTTTCTGTTTCAACGCGTTTTTCATCGTCATTAGTTTTGATTTGCGATCGAGCGCCACAGCGCAGCGCGCATGCTCGGCTCGCATCTCCATAACGAGGCTGCCGAAGGCGGCGTGCACGCCGCCGTAGTCCTCGGCGGCCGCCACCTCGTAGAACAGACATCGGTAAAGCTCGGCAAAGTTCGCCGCTGCCTCGCGCGCCACGGCGCGGAAGTGTTCGAGATCGTTCTTGTTGCCGATGAGCATCATGGGAGCGTTGCGGATCCGGATACGGCTGATCTGTCGCTTCAGTTCGTAAAGTCGATCGAGTCCGCTACTGTCTGTGATGGAGTACATCAGAATGAAGGCATCCGCCCACTTGATGTTCTCTTCTAACTTCACAGCGTCCTGTAGGAGATGAAAAAGAAGAATGGGTTATGTTTTGGGGATATTGTTAACCACATTGATTGCTCAATCCGTAGAGATTTTATAGATTGATAGAGCGAAATCCTGGCGTATTTGTCCAGTACAACACGCCGCACGTCGACGACCTAAATTCGTGCAGAAGAGCGTGAGCTCGGCTGGGCCGTGTATCATTACTATTACCGTGAACATATATGTATACACATGCTCATGCTATTACTGATCAGCCTTATATATTTATTATCATCGCTGTGCCGGCATGCTTTCTGTTGCCTCACGTCAACACTGTTCATGGAAGCTGGCTCGCTGTTTACCGCCGCTTTAGGCTTTGTTTGCTTTGGAAACTGGTACATGCACATGATTGTCACATGATTGATGGACCAGGGGCGCGTTCGCGTGACATGTTGTTGTTCCCGCGCCCGGCAACCACCATAACTAATTATTGCTGGGTGCGTTTTCGCACTTTTTATTATATTACTCGTTTTTTATTGGCGACGGGTGTCTCTGCCTGCTCTATACATGTCGATCGGCGGGAACAAAGCATCAGATAGAACTAACACCGCTGCGGTGTGCAGCGCAGGGTCTCGGACAATATCTGATAGATGGGATATAACATGAATAATAGAATAGGTAAAATAGTTGCATTCATCAAAGCCTTCCGATGACATCTTCGCCTTATGCTTCATGACGATATTTTTCTCACCTGTTCAATTTGGCTGTCGAGAATATCTAGCTCGATGACGTCATCTTCGTGAACGAAACGAAGGTTGTAGATCATCTCTATAACATATGTAAAAAAATACATCAGCCGACGACGATAACGACTCGATATAAAGTATAGATATAGTCGCAGACATGGTTAGCCGACAGTTTTACACCATATCATCAATAAACATTATCGCCAAGTATCTGTTGTGCCCGTTTATTGATTTTTTCTGTCCTGACTGATTTGCTGGCGTATTTGTTAGAAAACCAACCATTCGTTTCGTGATACAATATAGGCGGCGCTGCAGCACATGTAGTTCACACTACGTGAAATCTGAGGGCTGAATCCTACGTTGAAATCATCGCCGACGAATGTTTCGTGACTATTTACAAGCAGGGGCGATTGGCTATTAGCAGGAATTTCTCTGCATTAGTCGTCCGCACGAGCACGTCAGCCTCGCTTCGCGATTACAGCAAAAATCAGCTTCAGTGACGGCTAATTCTAGCCGCGGTCTCGGAGCCTACACGTGCCGAGGCTTTTTCTGGGACGTTCTCGTAAAGTTTTCGTGAGTTAAACAGCTATCCCAGGCACGCGTGTATCAATCGGCGCGATAGCGCGAGAGCGTCTTGACGCGCTCTTCTCCGCCTGGGGGCCGAACTAGAAACATCTGCGACCCATTCCTCGCGACGGCGGCTACTGTATTTACACCTTGGTGATTTTTCTGTGTTTACCCCCGCTGTCCGTATACACCACAGTTACGCTGCGTGAAGTGGTTCAACGTGATAAATCACGGCCGGCTGCACGCGCATTGCAGCCGTCGCTTGCTCGTCGCTAACATGCCGTTCGAATCAATGCTCTTGAGTAGAGTGAGTATAAGTGACGACGTCGGCTGCCAAAAAACGACCTGTGCACGCACGCCTTGACGCGTGTTTAGTGTTGAAGCCTATGTGCAGAGGTCAGCTACGCGTGGCGGGCTACGCTCGGCTCGCCTTGGTCTATAGATGCGGATAGGAAACACTGAGCCGACAAACGATGGATTAGATCATTCAGCGAGACTCGCTTGCACGTACAGGAATTCTGTGCTCGTCAAGTGCGGTTTTACGCTCGATCGAGTGCACTGATCCACTGTGTCAAGCGTTGTCAGACAGAAGTTGCTATTACACGTGGAATGTGACTACCGCTTCGTGGCTGCGCTCGCATGGCTTTCCGTACTCTACGAATTTAATCCTTTATGCTCATGGAAACTCACTCCGTGATAAAGTCGCGTATACAACTCGTTTGAAGTTTCACATTCTACTCTGCCATTCTTCTTCTGCCTACGCACGAAACGTTCGTACGGATTTTTCACACGTACGTGGGTTCTCCGCCTACGGACTTGCCACGCGCACGAGTGTTCTTACTTACGGGCTACTCACACGTACGGGGTCCCCACGGGCTACTCACACGTACGGGGTCCCCACGGGCTACTCACACGTACGGGAATCCTACGGGCTACTCACACGTACGGAGTCCCCACGGGCTATTCACACGTACGGGGTCCTCACGGGCTACTCACACGTACGGGGTCCCCACGGGCTACTCACACGTACGGGGTCCTCACGGGCTACTCACACGTACGGGGTCCTCACGGGCTACTCACACGTACGGGTTCCCCACGGGCTACTCACACGTACGGGTTCCCCACGGGCTACTCACACGTACGGGGTCCCCACGGGCTACTCACACGTACGGGAATCCTACGGGCTACTCACACGTACAGGGGTTTCTATGGGCTACTCACACGTACAGGGGTTTCTATGGGCTGGCCACACTTACGGGTACTAGGTTCCCATGGGTCACACGTCTACAGATTTCCTACAGGCTGCCCAATCTCTCAATTGGATGGTATCTGCTGGGTGCACTAGCCGTGTACAATTCTACCGGCCGTTCGTATGTACGCCGACGAGTAACTAGTTATTCACAATGTACGTCACGAAAAATCTACTCATGCCAATCGCGGGATGTCCCATGCAGAAGTCCCTAACGAGTAATCTTTGACGCGCGAATCTCGGTAAATCCGACGATGTACATCTTATCAGGAGTGAATAATAATAGATTATTATTCTAATATTACTATTATTATTATTATTCACTCCTGATCTTATGTATTACCTTTTCCACTCTCGTACTCTCCAATGAATCGTTTCGTTATGAGCCGCACGATGAATGCTGGAAAAAAATTCGTCACAGCGTTAGGAGTACGGCGAGCTGAAGGATGCATATTTATTGCAGACGCGTTTATGGGAGCCGCTACTTCCCTCTTCGCTATATACGAACTCTACCAAAACGCAGTCGTTCGTAAAACTTGCATTGTAATAAAGAGTCAGGGGGTTTGTTTGTTTGTTTGTGTGTGTGTGTGTGTGTGTGTGTGTGTGTGTGTGTGTGTGTGTGTGTGTGTGTGTGTGTGTGTGTGTGTGTGTGGTGTGTGTGTGCGCGCGCGCGGGAGAGAGAGCGAGCTAAAGAGAGAGACAGAGAGAGAGCGAGATAGAGAGAGAGGGAGAGAGAGAAACAGGCAGAGAGAGAGAGAGAGAGGGGAAAGAAAGTAAGGGAATTTTGTAATAAAGAATAAAAAGGTCTCTCATGTAAAGTGAGGTGCAGAGGCTTTTCGAGTGACTGGATTGATGTTAATCTTTGGACTTGGGGAATTATATCAATTTTTGCAGAGGAAAACTTTGAGATAAGATATGCTTCGGCAAGTGAAACAGTATTAGAACATGCTAGTGTATGTCGTACCTGTTTTTCCAACATTGGGGCAGCCGAATACGGCTACTTTACCGTATTTCATCCTGTTGCTTGAAGACATTCTGCTAAGATCTGCCGTCTTTGCAGTCGGGTTTCTATTACGTTTCAATTGAACCGGTGGATGCTGCGGCTAGCGGCACAATGTCTATCAGTGATCAATCCCCGATTACACATGGTATACCAGCACTGCTTGCCTCTAGGCCGACGTGTATGCTGGAGAGCGACACCAGATAAGTCTGCCACGGTCACAGATGTCGCGTCACGTTTCAAATTTCTCACAGTATTTTTGACAACGGTGACTGTGATTGGCTGAAGCGGCCACACACTACGCAAAAACTGCTGCTGCTGCTTCTGGTGGTGATAATAAGAAGTGTGGTGAAGGCAGCAACAAGCCGTTTTGTATTACCTCTCGTCGCGACGTGTGCATGAAGAAAATCCAAGGTCACCGGAAGTTTTTAATGAGCATGCGGAGCGAAGAGTTCCTGTTTTTTACACATGGAATTACTCCGTTGGCTGCTCGGGGAGGAGTCCCGAAGTCTTCACGGGGACCTATCCTGCTCTTTCTGCCCTAAGGAAATCCCTCAGACCAGTAAAAGAGACCATAGCAAATATTCGTTACTTTACGTGGTTGCACATATGCGTCTGGTATCGCCGTAACGGGAATTAAAGAAACGAACGCCCGGGTTTTCTCTTACACGCGAAATTTCGGCGTCCGAACGAGCTCAAAACAAATATTCACAGATTTTCATGAATGTTCGCGCATCTGTACGAAGGAGGTTCCTTCTTTTCTACACATACTCTACCGTAAGACGTACGAATGCATCGCAATCCGATGATGACGTCACTGCACACGAAACTCATCACACGAGCAATCATTTTAATTCCGAGGCGATTACTTACTAGAGCTAGATCAACAGCAGCTGGATTTAGCACCCGCAGGCCTTCGTATCAACTATCGAACTAACAGTTGTTCGTAACTTGTTTACTGGCAGTGAAGCTGCAGGCGGGTCCGCCTGCCATGCGGTTTCAGCGCATGCGTAGAAATGCCAGCAGCATAAAATTAGTTACGGCCAGTGCCATAGTGAATGTAGAACATGCATGAATGTATTTACATCTGTGTGTACGCGCTCGCACATGTGTGTGTGTGTGTGTGTGTGTGTGTGTGTGTGTGTGTGTGTGTGTGTGTGTGTGTGTGTGTGTGTGTGTGTGTGTGGTGTGTGTGTGTGTGTGTGTGTGGTGCGTGTGTGTGTGTGTGTGTGTGTGCGTGTGTGTGTGTGTGTGTGTGTGTGTGGTGCGTGTGTGCGCGTGCGCGTACGCGTGCGCGCGCGTGTGTGTGTGTACGTGCGTGCATGCGGCGGGTGTGCTGCTCGTGTTCATGCATGTATTTTTGATGTATGTGTATTTGCACGCATGAGGGTGCGTACGTGCATGTGTGTGTGCCTGCGGGCGCGTATGTGTATGTATGTGTGCGTATAGCTTTTTGGAGTCGGGCGAAGTTCAACGGTCCAAAATCCAGATCCAAAGACCGAATTCGAAATCCTGATAGGGTCATATATCACTGAATTCATGGGAATGCAGTAGCAACAACGTAACAAGAAATGTGAGGCATCAGTTTCGTCATATGTATGTTGTGAATCTACCGGGTTACGTCTGAAACATATTTTCAAAACAACAACAATAATAATAGCAAACGCTAAAACACAGTCACTCTAAACGCGATTACCTGGAACTAGGAGATGAAGCACCCACCCGACGGCACAGCATGCAGGAGTGTGTGTGTGTGTGTGTGTGTGTGTGTGTGTGTGTGTGACTCCTCTCCGTCGCCCCGCCCACCACCCTCCTCCGCTACATTGCCCCGCCCACCACCCAACGCACCTGCACAGCAGCACCATGAGTGTCTCTGGTATCGATGATAACAGCGTGGGCTGCCGACGCTCCCCTCTCATCCTGACTGCTCTGAAGACCCTGGTGTTAACGAGAGTTAAGGTAACGTCAGTAACGTCAATACTAGCAGTAATAATACTATTTATAATAACAATTTCAATAAATATATTATTATTAATATACAAATTATTCAAATTATATACAAATAATCAAACTAATGATGTAATAAAAATAGCCTTATTTCACGTGTACTGTAGTTTATTTCTCTCATTTCAGATCAGCGTTCGCCCATGCATTATTTGCCAAGCGATATAATACTTTGTTGAAATTGTTCATTTAAACAAATGATCATGCATGTACGCACGAATAGTCAGGTATGAGGAATACTCATCAAAATGCTTCACTGTTTTCATTATAAAGCGCCCAATCTTTCCTACTACCACTATACAATAGAATGGAGTGAGATCTGTGTTCGCACATATCCATCATCTGTCAAACAGAATATTAGTTGGTAGATATACATTTACATTAGACAGCGCGTACATAACACCAACATAGGACTGGTAATACAAAATGAGCCGCAATTCTGGTCACCTGTTCTAGCCGGTTTTGACGAATAGTTTTGTTATTGATCGTGAATAATACTCAATATTAACACGAATCATGGTTTTTCTTGCGAAAAATTCACATTACTTTACTTACATCACTTTCTGGAACATGTATCAAATCTTCTCATCAAAGATTATCGGCAAGGACATCTGTGCGTGCGTGCGCGTGCGTGCGTGTGTGCGTGTGTATGTGCGCGTTTATTCTAGTAGTACTCTAATTGCTCATGACTGAGTAAGGTTTATCCATAGTTTATCATAGAAAAACAATCACGCCGGGACTCTTACCCAATTTCCGGTGGAGAATTACACAGTGCACATACCAGCTGCCGGTTACAACATTTCAATGATCCGCATGAGTTCAAGCATGCAAGCAGCTCGTACACGCAACCAAGTATATGCATGTCTTTAAATTGGAGTGTCTGCTGTTTAGTTTATATTGTAATGAAGGTGTATATTATATACATTATTACACATATTTGTTACGTGGCTGAAAAATTTACCGAGTCATAACTAGTGCAGAGGATGTCACTTGTCATGAAGTAACAACCGATATTGCCCGGTGAGCGCTGCTGCCACCTGGCGAAAACTCTGTGCCTTACCACTGATGGCAGCTACGATGTGCAGCAAAACAAGGTTCGAACAAATGTACGAGAACAATTAATGTATCAAATCTGGTAAATCGTTATGGTACATATTACAGCCAGAATGTAATAACGAATTGTTTACAACGGGTTGTCCGAAAATGGCAAGGTTTCTTATCCTGAGTGCATTTCAACTATCTGGGCCATAATTATGTGTCTAGAAAAACGACGAGAGACGAGAGCACATGTGTTTGTATATATCTACGGGTAAATCGAGCCTTAATATTATTCTATCCACGATGCTCGGAGTACAGTTCGAGGATCACTAGCCTGTTGCTCACAGGCGGCATGTGCGCGCGTGCCAGTTTTAGATCACAGCACTTATGTTTTGCTCATCGATTCGAAGATGAGCTGTTTGCGGATTCGCCAATAGTGCGGCAAACCCATTTGGACAACAACATGAATTGGGCAGGAATTGGCCACGGCCGTGTCCCTGCCCCGCACTCCACATCGTTATAATTATGATTAAGATTTCACTAGGAAATCATAGTGTGGGGATTAGGAATAATTCCACACTGCGATATACCTCGTCGGAGTACCGTAATTTAGCAATAATTTCCACCATGTCTGGCCCTCATCACGTGGGTCCTTACGTACGATGCAAAAATTTTATGTATAAATAAAGAGTACCATTACCGGAAATTAACTCAATCACGGTGACTACCATTCTAATATGCATGCGATACATAATTTAATATTATATTAATTTATATTTTAATAATATATATTGTGTATATATTTTGTTTTGATTGTCGATCCATGTTTATGCATTTAAACGGATTATTGTCGTCTCATTCTCATAAAAAGTTTTTAACGACCATAAAGTATTGATAGACCTAATATGATGACGTTTAGCTTCTAGTTTATCGTTATTGCACTAATGTGTTTTACTAGAATATTCTACTGAGGCGATGCTTCCGGTAAGCGCGCCTGTTTTTTCCAAAATATACTGCGAATGTCGACGTTTATGCGAGCATTACAGATACATGATTACACAATCCACGCCTTTCTTCCGTGGCGTTTCAATCACTGCGAATATTGACAGCATTTGTTATTGTTACATTGTTTCTGGGCAGTGTAAATTAGAAAGGTGTATATATATATACTGATTAAAAAAGGAGAGAGATATATAGAGACATGTAGAGAGTGATGTAGATAGATAGCTAGAAAGAGAGAGAGAGAGACAGAGAGAGAGAGAGAGAGAGAGAGAGAGAGAGAGAGAGAGAGAAAGAGAAAGAAAGAGAGAGAGAGAGAGAGAGAGAGGAGAGAGAGAGAGAGAAGGAAGGAGAGAGAGAAAGAGAGAGAGAGAGAGAGAGAGAGAGAGAGAGAGAGAGAGAGAGAGAGAGAGATACATATGGCGAATGATAAAATTGAATTGATCCGCCGAGTGATTAATCCGAGTTATAGTAATATCCGGAAAAGTAACCATATATAGGTGGGATATACGCACACATGCCTGTAGAGGCACACACACACACACACACAACACACACACACACACACACACACCACAACACACACACACACACACACACACAACACACCACAACACACACGCAGCGCCACGCACGCACGCACGCACGCACGCACCACGCACGCACGGACAACACGCACGCACGCACACACACACACACGCACGCGCGATTGATGAGGGGTGAACGCCCATGCACTGTCGCTGCGCTATAGACAGATGCGTGGGCTGATCAGCTGCTGCCGTACGTAACTTATAAGCACGCACGCTCTGCTAGAATGTGTGCACGCGATCCGACAGCAAACAGATGTCTCGTACGGCGGTATCCACGTCTTCCGCTTCATTACCGCGAGAAAAATCCGCAAACATTTCATATAGCAATAAATAAGGATTTCTGCCGGAAAGATTTCTTTGCGCGATGTTCACTCGCAACTTCTCGCGAACAGTGAGCTATAGTATCAGACGTGGCGGAAAGGATAGCTCTGCTTTTGTTTGCTTTGTTCCTGTGCGAGAGACCAACGTATTCTGTATGTCAGATATAGGCAAATGATGTAACAAAATGATTGCAATCACACAGCAACGGGATACTTGGCATCCATTAGTTTGATATTGTAACAATACGCCTAAACTAAAATATATCTACTAACAGTACATACACACGCACACAGACACACACGTACGCACATTTTAACTGTATTGCAGGCAAGACTCGGCATAGACTACGACAGAAATTGCACGTCCCCCTTAGCCTGCCGCACACGTGTGTTTTTGTGCTGGCCCATCGGCCACGCGTGCTGATGGCGGCAGCACAAGACACAGCCGTGGCGCTTGCAAACACAGCGATTTCTTGCGCGTGAAAATATCACACGTGTTTGATATTTTCTTCCACGTGTGGCAGATTCCACAAGCGTGTGCGGAGTCGCTGTGTCATATTCCACACGGCTCTTATGTAACCGACCAATAGCAGCAGGTCAAGCGAGTCACGTGATCTTAACTTGCGTTGCAAGCGCGGTTGCATGCGGTACACGCACGTACACGCAGATACACGCACGTACACGGCGGTACACGCACGTACACGCACATGCACGCGGTACACGCACGTACACGGCGGTACACGCACGTACACGCAGGTACACGCACGTACACGCACGTACACGCGGGTACACGCGATACACGTACGCACACGCAGTACACGCACGTACAACGCACGCACACGCAACGTA